CAGAGGGGGACCATGACTAAGCAGAGGAGACAGGGATGTCTCCAGGGGAGGTTTGCAAAGGCCTGGCAAGCCACTGGAATACCCTGTGAGGGCAGGGAGCTCAGGGGAAACTATATTTCACCCTATATTCATACCCCAGCATTGAAGGCTGCCAGGAGAAACCCTGCCAAGCAGCAGGTTCTCCAGCTCATAGGGACATACATCTCTGCTTTGTGATAGCAAAGGGCCCAGTGGGGCAAAGAAGAGGGTGATGCTTCACCCACCATTTGCTCTCCCATTACCCTGTGCTGCTGACGCGTGGCTCTGCCTCAAGAGAGGCTGCCTTCACTCCCACAGGCTGCTTCTTTTGAGGGAGGGCAAATCCATGTCTCCCTCCCATCTGCAGGAATGCAGGGCTTTGTCCCCATCTTGGGGCACGTTGGCATCTGCTGAAGGCCACCAGGCTTGGTGGAGCACCAGGAGCAATAGCAGCCCTGGATGCAGCCCCTCCTCTGCAGTAATTGCTCTCAGGTTACTGCACCTCTACAGCCTGCCCCCAGCCCCCCCTCCGGCAGAGAGCTGTGAGTTATGGAGGTTCCTCCCGTCAAGTTTTTATTAACGTATACATCCTGGGCCAGTCGCTCAGATAACTTTTATCTCACAAATTCAGCTTGCTGAAATATTCCCTATAGCCTTTCACTTATTCATCCATGGCACCTGCATGGGGCTTGAGAGCTGTGGGAAACCAGCCAGCTCCGGGGCTGGACACAGCAAGCTGCACCCTCTGGGGTGTTTATCAGCTTAATTATACTTCCCTTCCGAGGAAAGTCTTGAGTGTTGCAGCAGCTGAGCAGAGAGGAGGAAATCCTGGCTGGCCTTGGGAGTGCAGGAGCAAAGAGGGAGGAGGGGGTGGCCAATGCTGCCGCTAGGAAAATGTTCAAGGTTAATTAAGCAGGTCAGTGGTGTGCCGGGAATGGAGATGGGCAGACATGGGCGGACGGGAGGTGCTGGCTGGTGGGAGCCTGCACCGCTGGCCTGCAGGACTCCTGGCATCTGCCCAGATCCCCCAGACCTCAGAGGGCCTCTGCCACCCACTGAGATGAGCAGATGCACCAGCTCTGGATGCTCCCCTTGCTCCAGGGAATAGGTGCACGAGGGAAGATGGCGTGGAGGCAGGAGCACATGAGGCTCACTCATCGTGGCTGCAGATATGAATACTTAGTTTTCTATATACCTCAGCAGTACTCTGTCTGCAGGACAAGGGCTGTTAATGTGGCAGCTACGCCATCAGATTTTCTTTTCTTGATGCTTCATGGAAGGAATCAATTATGGCGAAGCTCAGCAGGTCCTGCTAACCATGCCAGCTCCAGCGTGTCAAAAAAGCCATTCAGAGGGACAGCCAAGACAGGGCTGCATGTTGGTTTACATAAAAGCTAGAGAAATAAATGGACCAAGATCTCCCAGAAGAGAACACCTCCAACACTCAGCTGAACGGATGAGGAGCAGCAAGCCCGCACTGTCGGGTGGCTCGGTGCTGCAGTACTGCTGGTCCAGCACCAGCCCAGCCCGTGCCCTGCTCCTCCTACTGTGAGGGCAAAGCACAGGGCAGAGCAGAGCAGATAGTCTGGCTGAAAACATGCTACAGAGAGAAAGGCAGGGTTGGATATGCACTCCCACGCTCAAGAAATGAGCTCTGTCCTCATTGCAGATGTTCACTGCAGTCTGCCCAGAAAAAAGAGCAAACTGAACCACTGTAACACAGTCAGCCCTTCTTGCTCTTCTCTTCTTCCTCTCTGCCCACAGCAGCAATGTCCCTGCTCTGACCAGACATCTAAGATGCCACCTGTGGCTCATATGCCGAAGTACCCACATACAAAACCTGGTGGACCTGTGATGGTGCAGCTGGGCTATCAACCTGGTCCATAAGCCCTCAGCCAGCTGCCCCGTGGGCCACAGGACACCTCACAGAGTGAGCTTGACAGCAATGATTACTGTACTCCCATCAGACATCACCTCAAGGAAGCAAAGCTGCCGGACTGTAATGTTGAGTTGTCAAGTCACAGGGAAGCAATAAATTCATTCAACCCTATGAATCTTCCAGCAGACTCCCATGTTGTGCCACTTGCTGAGGGATCATTCCACTCCTCAGAAAGCATCTGCAACTAACATGGTGCTAACAGGGACCTTGAAGACTGTCGCTCAGGCAGCAGACTTGTGCTGCAGCAAACCCAGCCCTTCGGATGAGATCCGACTGCCATTTCAGATGAGATGCAGATGTGAGCCACCCCGTACAACCCAGGAGGTCTCACCAAGAGATGCATCTATCAAGGAAGAGACAGAAACGTTGAGTGAGAACAAGACCAGTCTGCAATGGTCAAGGCAAGGACTGTAAAAACCACCTTCCCTGCGCTTTATTTACTACCAGAGCTGGGACTGTCCCTGTATTCTGGTACTTTCATCCCCTTTTGGACACTTGCTAATAAATAAGACCTACTGAGGCCCAGACTCAGCAAAGGAAAGAAGGTTTCTCTCTGTCACTAAACCAACACTATTCCCCCAAGCTCTTCTGTTTGGGAATACAGATTTAGTGTGCACTGACAGCACTGATGCTGCAGAAATCAATACATGTCCTGACACTGATCTTCTGGTGATGAAGGAATCTCTCCAAACATCACTTCAGAAGCAGAAAGAGGGCTGTGAAATATGCTAATTGGCCCATCTCCTTGTTGAGCTGCTGATATTTCCACCAAGGTTACAGCAGCTGAAAAGTGTGCACTATCTTCTAATCATCCACTTGAAAAGGAGAAAACCCTGTTGCCACATAACAACAAACACAGACAGGAGAAACTGGCAGCACGGATGTGCTGGGGATGCAGCACAAAGCGGTGGCACCTTCAGCCAGCACCACCCCTGATGATGAGCAGCTAACACCCCAAAGAAGCCCTTGTACATCGAGGCTGACCACAGAAAGCAAACATATAAATAATATATGTATATATTGCTAAATCAAACACTCAGAAATACAGAAGTTTCCCTAAACACTTTTCATGGGCTACAAATAAACACCGAACCAGCAGTAGAGAGGGATGCGTGCCCATTAAAGCCATGTGCCTCCTTCCCATCACCCAAGCATGAGGCACTGGGACTAATTCCTTGGTCATTCAGTTGTGTGGAAGGAGATCCTGGCATCCATATGGTCATCCATAATAATTTGTGCAGTGCTTCAGGTGAGGCTTGTTTGAGATTTTAAACATGCAAGAAGCTGCTGCGGATACATCCCTGCAACAAGGGGAGTTCAAAACTTGATTGGGTTTTTATTTAATCTAATAAATCAAGTTCATCTCCGAAGAGGAGCTCTCAGCAGCATGCTGGCATCTCTGATGACTGACAGTTAAAAAAACAAAAGAGTTAGCCCCATCCCCTGGGAGCAGCTACTGAAGCAAACCGCCCTCGCTCCCCCCTGCGCTGCTCTGTCACAGCATTGCTCTCGGCTTGTCAAGCCACTCATTTCTTATTTCCAGAGCGAGCACCTTTCAAAGCATGAGGAAGCACTTAAAAACAGCAACTGCAGGAGGGATACATTTTTAATAAACAAGGCAGAACTGGATAGGAGTTTGCTTCTCAGCAGCTCCCCTCCAGTCCCACCACTATACTGCCTTTACTTAATTTCATTTGGTTTAAAGTCGCACAGAGAAAATGAGGAGGTGGAGGCGATAAATCATCTCAAAAGCCTAGTCAAAGCAGGAGCAATTGCAATGTTGGGAAAGGAAACAAAGGGAGGGTTGCACTCTCCGGGGCCGGGCAGAGACATCTCAATGAGCATCTGAGACACACAGCCACGGACCAAGCAGCTGTGAGCAGAAGCCTGGGGAGCCAACTTATTTTCAACGGGAAAAGGCTTCCCTCCTCCCACTGCAAACAAGAAACCCCCTCCTTGCCAGGATGGCTCCGCCTCTGCTACTCTCTGATTTTTGATTGAAGCGCACTCTGATTTCCCTAAACATATTTAGCCCTCCTTGGCTGTCCCCAGGGTGATGTGAAGTGCAACTTCTTCTCTGCTTCATGTGTGGCTGTAAAGCCCCATCTACTACCACACAGACATTTTTCAGTCTCCTTCTGGTGCCCCAGAATTGCAGTCCTCTGTCAGCAAAGCCACACACAAGCAACAATTGCCCTACAACTCCATACATCAGCTCCAAAAAGCCCAGTGATGTAAAGTGACCAGAAAGATGGACCTTTGTGATCTCCTGAAATTCTAGCTGTCCCAGGGACCCATAGGGATGGGTGCTGACAGAAGCACAGAGCTGATGGGAGCCCCGGGCACTGTATGGTGTAGCAGGACACAGGAAGGAGCTGAGACACTGAGTAAAATGGGCATGTGAAATAATTTAAATAACCCGGGGGTCTCCATCACCCTGCCAGCAACTCTGGGCTCGCAGAGAGCAGCTCAGCTGTACCCCTTTGGGCTCGAGAGCTGATGGAGCCGCTCTCCCACCACCCACCAAGACAGGGTGAGTGCCCAGGCACGTACTGTTTGTCTTGAGCCTGGCGGGTTCACTGTTCCGGCTGCCCGCCTGGTTTATGGCCTTGACGAGGAAGATGTAGCGGGTGCCACTCTGGAGCCCGTGGACGGTGTAGTGGTTCTGCTTGATGTTGGGGACAATCATCCAGCTGTCCATGGAGTTGTAGAGACCTGCGGTACAGGAGAGTTAGGGAAAGATTTATTCACAGGAAAGGACAGAACACAAAGACCATGTGCTGCGAACGCAGAGCTCACTGACCACTTATCCCTCAGGCTGATTTACTGCCTGCCTAGGAGTTAAGAGCACCTGTAGGAAAAGTTCCATTGGTGATAAACCCCAGCAACTCAAAGAGCCTTTTTTTTATTATTACATGAAGTCAGTGACTGGTGAGGCAAAGCCAGGGGTGGGGCCCTGGCATCTCAAGATGCCACCCTGGGAAGTGACAGGGAAAGGGTGCAGAGAAAGAGGAATTAAACCAGTGGTACCTTCCAGCCAGGACAGATGGCACAGGCAACTGCTAGTGCCTAGGAGAAGGTGGTGCCCACCATCATCCTCTGTCCTTTCTTTGCTCCTGCAGGACAACCTCCCTGCTGCTCTGGGAACTGCAATATGCAGTGCTGGCAGCAGGAAGGGACACGTTTACACCCTAATCCTTCTCCTGCACAGCGCTCAGTGCTCTGGGTGGGAAGCAATAATCCATGTCCAAGGGACGCTGATGCTTCAGCTCCCTGTGTAGACTGGTCTGCAACGTGGTTCAAAGAAAGTTACAGCTCCCAGTGAAGGGATCAAGGTCCGGATGCTTGGAAAACATTCAGAAGCCTCAACTCTTTCTGGAAATGGAAAGGAATTAAGAGCCCAAAGACCTTGGAGGCGCTAAGACTTAATGCTGCAGTGGTTTGTGCTGCCAGAGCTGCAGGGCCAAGCACGTACAGAAAATGCCGTGTTGTATCTAAGGTGGGATAGCATAGGGCTCCAGGAAAGGAGAAAAGCCCTACATGGTGCTACAGATGCTGTTACTGCCACTGGCACAGCGGGTGAGAATAACCTACAGACTGCACAAGTACCTTGAGCAGCCAGCGCTGGGGGAAAACAATGCTGCGGGTTTCAGGAGCAACCTCCAACGCAGGCACCAACGGGCTGGGGGCAGCGAGTGCCCAGGACCACCCGCTGTAGCACACAGCAGTTCTGGGCTCTCAGAAAACAGCTCTGGGGCAGCTATCGCAACATGGGACTCTTGCTTTAAACCCAAAGAAGAATAAGGAGGAAGCTCAGAAGCAGCAGCTGGGAGGTTTCTCGGATCCAGCGGGTCTGGAGGCGAAGGGCAAGATGATACGTGAGGAGTGGGTTGTGAATTAAGGGTGACCGGAGGAGGGTTTTTAGCCTCCTATCACCATCATACGTGTGCACGGCTGGAAGGCAGGAGCCTGGAAAACACTCCACACCTTCTCTTTTAAGGCTTACATTGGGGTGTTCATTTATCTCTGATGGCTTGCTCAGCCGGAGGACAAGGGCAGGTTGCAGTCATTGTCAGCCTGGATTTGGTTTAAAATATACGTGGAAATGGCCTAGGGGAGCAGAGCAGTGTTATTTGAAGTAGAAAATAAAACAGATGTGATACCAGTTGCATCCTACACGCAGAGCTGCTTTCATCGGAGCACACAGCTTTCAGTCAAGCACTGGTAGGTGTTATCTCCCTGCAGACAAGGACCAGCTTTGGATCCTTCATCAGAAAGCACAAGGTGGTTGAGAGACAACAGTCCAGGAATGATCTGGCTTCCCAAACAGGTTTCTTTCCCAAAACAACCAAGAAGGGGTTGGCCTTGAAGACTGGGGGCTTCTATCCTTGCCAAAGCTTAAAAAAAATCCTTTTTATTGCAGCTTTCGTCATCCATAAAAATGTCTGACTCCAGCCAAGCTCTTGGCTTTAAAGAAAGCATGAAGGGGATGGTTTCCATAGGCCAACTGTGTGCTCTTTGAGAAGGTATTTCCTTTCATGGGAAGCCTCCTTGTGTTCTGGCTAGGTGAGCCCTAGCACACTATTTCCAGTGTCTCTTCATGCATGAGTTCAGCCAGGACTCAAACACTCTCATCACCCAGACTTGACTGTGTTATTTCAAGTAACAATATATTATTCATTTTCTCCTCTGAGATGTTAGCTGATGTTTTCTTTACTCCTTTTATGAAGAGCTACCAAAGACAGCCAAGGAAGGCACTCCTGACGTGTGCTCCTCTGGGCTTTCTTCCAGAGCTGCCCCTGCTGTTCATCACCCCTGTGGCTTCCATAGCCCCCACCTTCCTAACCCCTGTGTCAAACCCACACAGACCCCCAAAGTGGGTAGGTGACTAACTCCCAAGCCCCTCAATGGATCAGAGTCCAAGCCATGTGCTCCAAGTGGTGTACGGGCAGAGGTGGGAGCCAGACCCTTCCCAGAGGGGTGCCAGCACAGCCCCAGCTTAAGGGCACAAGTTGCAGTGGGGGAAATCTGTTTAGATAAGGAAAAATTTCATCTAGCTGAGGATGGGAAAGCTCTAGAGCAGGACCCTAAAAGCTGGGGATTCTCCATCCTCGGAGATGGTCAGTGCTCAAGAAGCAAGACCTGAGCAATCTGACCGAGCTCTAAGTCAGCCCAGCTTATGAAAAGTTGGTGCAGAGACCTTCAGGTCCCCCTCCCCAGCTGAACAATTCAGTGATACCAGCACAGGCCATGTTTGTTCCTCAGTTGGCAGGTGCAGGAGAGATGGAAAGTGGTGGCATCTAAGAACAGAGTCAGAGAGGTTGCTGAGCTCTCCCAGGCTTTCAGAGAAGAATAAACCACTGGAAACAGCATGTTGTGGCTGGTGGAGCAGAGGAAATCTGAGCAGGCAAATCTAGTTGCTGTAGCGCTAGGTACTCACAGCTAACCTCTGGCTGAGAGGAAATAAATCATCTTGTTTTTCAAAATGAGGGCAAAGGCTGGGGATGCAAGTTTAATCAGCTTCGAAAGTTGAAAGCAGTAACTTTCTCTGGCAGCTTCCTGCATATTTTAAAGTGCACTTAACAGCCTTCCTGTGCCACGACACTGTGCTTCCAGAACCTATGTCTTCCTGACCAGTGAGATAAACTGACACCAGCCAAAAAAGTTCACTCTGAAGCATTTTGTCAGTACTTCCTACAATGGTAAGTGCTACTAAGGAAAACCAGGAATAAAATTTTCTTGCACGAGCCATGTTGTGGGGATGCTGTGCTCTTCCAAAGCACTACTTCAGGACAGCCAAGCTGGAAGTGCTATTTTTGTTCTCCCATTACAACATCCATATTTTTTTCTTATTTGAAACAAGCAATTTCCCTGGACTCTCTCCTATAACACAGTCCACATTTCCTCCAGAAGGCAAACCCCCTCTGATTTTTTAAAAAAGGCAGTGTTATGAGAAATCGTAACATGTAGGTATTTCTGATACCTCAAGGACTCACCAGGCACCGAAAGGAACAAACCAGCTGTTTGCTGAGCCTGGCAAACAGTCCTTGGCGTAATGGCTGAAGTGCTCTTCTCCTCCCTCTGCACCTCTGTGGAAACCCAAAGAACCCCCTTTCCTGTGAGGACAATCAAGCCAGCTTTTTCGTTTTTTCAAATAAACCTTCTTGACAACAAACAAGATGGAAGATGAAATGACTCCTGCAGATGTGACGAATCTGTCGTTGGTGGGGTCACATTTTCCAGCCCTGGCTTTTTCAACCTGCAGTTTACTAGCTCTCCCAAATGATAAGCCACAGTGCTAGAAAGCTCAGAGTCTAAGTTTCTCTTGATCAATTTAGATTCAGGGGGAGGAAATTAAATAGACATCCCTAAAAGGCACATTCCTTTTGTTTTAATCCCCAGGTAATTTCTGGCTCATTTTATCTTCAAGCCTTCAGCTGATTTGGGATGTCTGATGAATTCTGCCTGGCTAATATTAGAGCAAAACTCCAGCCCTGCTGTCAGATGTGGCGGTTTGAAGGGGTAGGTACAACCACCTGAAGCCTCAGCAGGCCTGCAGGCAGAGCCTGCCCCAGGCAGCCCAGCTTTGCTGGGCCCAACATTGTTTTGCATCCTCAGACCACGTTTGGCACTGGCACAGTGCTTCGAGGGGCTGGCAGGAATTCTCCTGGGCACAAACCCCTCAACTAATGGTGATGCTGATGCGCAATGGTACACCAGAGCCCCTGCACGTGGCCAGGATGCCCTTGGAGGACAACTCTGGTTTTTAAGGTCCTGATATTTGGAAGAGTGGCAGGAGGTTGCTGGCAGAAAACAATGCTTTGCCAGAGCTGTTCTACCTCCCTGTAATTTGCAACAGGTCTCTCCCACCACCTCCTTTTCCCTTTGTCGCTTCTGCTTCCTCATTGCATTCACTGCTTCTGTTTTCCATCACACTCAGGCAGCAGGACTAGGGGCAGAGTGCAACCCTTCAAAGTCATCATAATGACAAGCTCACTTTCTCCTGCTCGCCCTGGCTGAACACACACGACGCCTCTGAGTGTGCCTTGCAAACAACCAGACACCCATTGCGTGGATGTCTCTGGATCCCATTACCTCCCTCTCCAAACAGTGACGCTTGCTGTTAAATGCACTGTTAAAATATCTGTAATATTAAAAACCCCAGAACTACCATAGTCTTCATCAAATAACAAATACCCAGGAGGAAGCTCTGCATCTAAGAGGTTGCTGTCTTGACCTTGTGGCAAGCCTGGGGACAGGTTCAGCCCTATAAAACTGTCCTGGTGCACTGGAAGATATCATGGCATGGAAAATACACTGAGCATCACGCAGTCCATAAAGCCCAAGCTCTCCCAGAGGAGCTGGATGCTGGAGCCTGAGCCGCAGGTTGCTTGCTGTCTGACCACAGTGCTGCCTAAGTGATTAGGTACCACCACAGACCCATCAGCAAGAGCCCTCCTCGGGCCTCAAATCCCATTCCTGTCAAGCAAATTTGTGGTGGTGTGGAAAAATTAGGTATGGCAGTTACATTCAGGAAGAATTACCCGGAGACATGCCTCAATATTGTTATGGAGGGTATATAAATCACATTTAATTATCAGCCCACAGAGCAGCCGGCGCTGCCCTGCCTGTACGATCCCAGGGTGTGGTGTGAGATGTGCAGATCTGGTGGCTGTGAGACAGATGAGACCCTCTTATGCACCAAGCTGGAGGTGGCAGACACCAAGTTCAGGGCAAAACAATTCAGTTATGGACCCCCAGCATGGGGGGGGTCCTCCATTATGTTGATTACAGCCCTAAGCAGTGTCCTCAGAGGATTCTTTGTTGCAGTTTTCTCCCCTAATTTCCAGCCTTTAAACTGTTGATTCTCCCAGAGAATCTTTTTCTTCCTGAAGTGAACCCAAACTGAGCTAGCACACAGTGACTTACTGATGAAGTTGGCTTGGCCGGTGAAGATGGTGTACTGCAGCTCGTAGGAGCTGACGCTGAACTCGTCCTCTGAGATCCAGTGGACAGTGATCGTGTCGTGGGAGGCTGTGCAAAGCTCCTCTCGGACAGACGGCGGGTTCGGCGCTGTGGGAGATCATAGATAACATACTTTGGTAAGTTTGTGCTTTCTTTCCATATACCTAGGGCTTTTTTGCTCCCTTAAGGATAAAGATGGGCTCGTGCAGGGAGCAGAGTCTCTCAACACTGTCTTATTTTATCTGTCATTGTGTTTCTCACTTAACTAAACTTTTTAGTGCAATAAAAAAATATCCAGGGGCCAGTGTGTTTTCAGGTGTGCCAAAATGATGGGGTTTTGCTGCTACCTCCATCAGATCTAACACCCCCACCCTGAAACAAACTGAGAAGCCACTTCAAAATCTACCTATTTCTTGGCACTGGTTGCGCTTAAGTATTTTGTCCCATAGCTGTTCCAGACACATGTTTGTTGTTAATCTTTCATTGCTAGATGATTTGCTTCATGATGAAGAAAATCGGATTTGGGTGAGTTACAATGCCCTCACTTCTCTGGAGCTTTCATCCCTCCCTCTGATTTTCCAGCACACAGCTTGGTCCAGCAGCAGTTGATTGTGGCAGGGCTGCTCCCAGACACTCTGCATCACCCCGGACAAGGGCAGGAGCAGCATTTAGCCTGTGCTAAAGGCAGCACCAAGAGGCCCAGCAAGGTCTTTTCCCAGAGTAGTTCATAACTTATCACCAACAGACCCACAAAAAGGGCAGTAAAAGGAAATGCTAAAGCATTACAGTGCATTAGAAGTTCAATAATTTGTTAATTCACTGTTCCCTCCCTGTAATCTGCCCAGCCGGATCCTTATAGGCATCAGCCTCCTCCCCAGGTCATGGAGGCCATCATTTTTGATGTGCTTTGTGAACTCTTCCACCTGCACTCCAGGAGAGGCAGAGTACAACACGAGGGCAGGGACACATTCACTGTCCTGGTGACAGCACAGCCTCTGCTCTGCCACAGCTGACCAGGCACTTCTTATTGGTGAGGACGAGTAGCAATCTAGTTTGCTTTGAAATACACCTGCCAGCCCTTGGTGGGGCACAGGGGAGGATGGCTGCAGGGAAGATGAGGGGCACAGGCAGTGGGGAGAACGGCTGTGCACTCACCAGTTAGATAATCCAGCCCCTCCAGCAGCTTCTTTTCTCTGGAAAAATCTAAAGCAAAGTTTTCAAAGGCATCGTTAAAATTGATATCTGGTATCAGAACTTGAGAGGATGCAGTTGCCATGGCGACCCTGAAAGAAAAGAAGAGACCATCAATACGCATCAGGGTGCATGCTGCTCCCGACACCCAGCAGCGGCGAGGTGGGGGATTAAAAGGGTGTGAGCAGCCTTCGCGGTGACATTACATGCAATCGGGAAAATGGCTTGCACCTACTAACCACTGCTTCTGCCCCAGGAGGGTGGCCCAGCCTTGGGACAGGTCCCCAGAGAGGTGGAGGGAGGCTCCATCCTTGGGGGGTCCCAGCCCCGACTTCCCCCTGAGTTCCCTTTGGATTGGCATTTCCACCACTTTTCCACCAAGGGAATGATGTTTGCTCCCACAGTTCAGCTTTGTTAGGACCTGCCATGCAACTCCTGTCCTGCAAGGGACAGGAACCAGTGACACCCCTGACCGTGGTGTTTATTTGAGAGCAGCACACTGAAAGTCTGCAGGGAGGAGGATGGGGCATCCCTGGGCAGGGAGCTGCAACCAGCAACATCCCACTGGTGTCCTGAGCGACGCGTGCCAGCCCACCTCTCGGCCACGTTCCTGGCTGTCTGCAGGAACCGTGCGTGGTCGTTCTCCTTCAGGATGTGCTCTGCCTGGTTGATGAGGACCGTCGAGCGCTCAAGACACTGCCGGCAGTTAGCAACCTGCTGGGCCAGCTTCCGCAGCTTCATCACCTGCGAGAGGAGCAGAGGGAAGCAAAGGTGCTCAGGAGCCAGAACATACATTGCAAAGCCCAGAAGAAACATCCTAAGCCAGGGGCTGCAAGGAGCAGTGAAACAGCACAGAAATGTCCCCAAAGGCTCTGGGAAGGGAGAGCAGCAAGGCACTTTCCATATTTTGCTTGCAGATGGGAAAGCCCCAGGGAAAAGCCTCCACACTGCTCTAAGGGTCCCACACGTGATCAAAGCAGGAGAGAGATGCATCGTCTCTCCACTCCTTCCCTGCAAATGGAATGTCATCCCCCCTGTGCTGGCTCTCGGTAGATTTGGCTGGGAGATGAACGCTCCTGCAAAGCAATTCAGCACAGGGAAAGGAAACCTCATGCTGGCTCAGCCCCAGCAGAGCTGCTGGAAAACATCATATTTGTAGCCACAAATCGTTTTGCAATTAAAGGTGAGGTGCTGCAGTAAGACAAGACAGGAGAGTTACCCACAACACAGAGAAGCAGGAGCTGAAAAAACAGCCCAGGCACCAGTTTACACCCAAAAATAGGGCACGTGGCTCAAATGAGCTCTGTTCTGACCACACCGGTGTCCCATGAGCCCCATCCAGCCTGTGCTTGGGTCCAGGGGTCAGGGCTCTGCCACGTCCAGCAGAAGCTCAGAACTGGCCCAGCCACTGTTCAAAAGGGGATGTAAAGTGACTCCAGGGAAAAGCACCTCTGACACTTTCCCTGCAAAGCTCTGTGTAAGGTATTACTGATGGCTTAAGACAGCACTGAACAAGCCATTAAGGAATAAACAAAGAGAAGAGGTTTGATGGCACCTCTTCTCTCTTCTGCAAAGTATCAGTGCTCAGCAGCAGTGAGGGGAGCAAAGGAATCAGAAGAAATGTTATTTCTTAGGCAAAATCTCCATGTCTCAGGGCAACACTGTGCAGGAGCACAAGGGAAAGCCCCTTTGAACCTCCCACCTCCTCCATGCAGCCAGGGTGAAGCTAAAGGAAAGGCAGGCACAAGCCCCTGGTCACCCCTGAAGCTGCGTGTGGACTGCGATAGTCGTATTTCCATAAGGCCTACTGAATTAAGGCCTATGGCTCTGTCAACAAAATAATTACAAGATGTAACCCCCTTCTTTCCCTCCTGTCTCTGTATGAACACACACACACTCCCATACAGCCACTCCTGGTGACAACTTCACGTCAGACTGCACCCAGGTAAAATTCAGTCACCCTGGGGCTCAGCCCCTGCAGCATCCCTTCATCTCCCAAAGAGCACGGATGGCACTGGGTGGGGGTGAAGGGCTGGAAATCCAGAAGCGATGGGGGCTTGTCAGAGACCAGACAGCTTCATGCTGTAAATGGGAAAACTCAAATGTGAGCCAGTTCAGAGGGAAAAGAGAGGTTACATAGGAGCCAACACAGATTTTTGGGGTAGTTCTCCTATTTAAGCTGGGAACACAGGGGAGCTCTGGAAAGCCTGGAGCTGGAGGTGGCTGAGGTCAACACTATGTGTTTAAAACCTGCTGTACCACTGCTCTGGCTATCTGACACTTTGCTCATGCCAGGGACAATATTTTGATTTGGGAGAAGCAGTCCTGGGTCCTACACCGGCACCAGTAAAGACACAGAAGGAGGAAATCAGCACAGAGGGAATTGCATTGGCAGCCAAGCTGGAAGTAATTCTGTATCCAGAAAGGCATCCTGAGACAGGCAATGAGGCACTTGCTAATGAAATATAAATTCCCACTGCCCTGCTGCTGTGTGCATCTGCAGCGAAGGACCCTGCAGACACCTAGGGGAGAGGAAAGCAAATTTCAGGAGATGGAACTGGGCTGGGATACCTAAAACATCAGATTCTGAAAGGATAAATCTCACTTCAGACCTCTGTCCTGTGCTCCGCAGCCGCATCCCACATGAGGCTCTTCTGAACGGCACTGCACAAATGTATCTTAAAATGAAACAAGTGGTCCTCCAGGAGCACGCCTGTGGTACCAACACAGAAACACCATGTCCTCTCACTTATTTAGCAGGCACTTGCCACCAAGCATCATGCTGGACTCATCCTGTGAGAATGCAACGGCAGAGATTTAGCCGTGTCTTCTCTGCTGCATACGACCACGGACCACTCTCCCAGCCCACCTCCAAAGGGAGCAGCCAGGTCATGTGCTGCTAGTTCACACGCTTTCACATCATTTCCTTGTTTTCTTTCTTTAACGAAGGAGTGGGGTATTTGCAAGCCTCCCGAAGCTGTCATGACAGTGGCTCCTGGAGCACCTCGCATGGCAGCTCCTTGCTCCCCACTGCTGCCCTGCAGCACGCTGTCAATCCACACACGCATTTCCCCCCCTCCATCTGGAGTTTGAAAATCCATCGGGAAGCAAAAAGCAGGAGCTCCCGGAGGGGACGGGAGGCTGCTTGAGCTGCTCTTTCGAGGTGTCAGCACTGTCAGTGCATATACAATTAAGTAGTGTGCTAATCCCTGGGCTGACAGCAGGGCCCTACTCCCCTTGCACAGCAGCGGGTGTCCTGCTGCAGCCCCTGGATCCTGCAGGAGATCAAAATGAACAAGACCAAGAGTGAAAAGCCAACTGATGGGCTCTGAGCACCTCGAGTTAAGAAAAACCCATGACTGCATTCTCCCCAAACACCTAAGGGTTTCCATTGCACCCCATGCCATGGCTGGGTGCCAGCTGATGGAGTCCTGCATGACCCACACAGCACTCACCTGGCTGCACCCACTCCAGTGCCAGCCATGGAGCAGCACACCAGGATGAGGCAGGAGGGGACCTTGGGGTGAACTACCAGCAAGGTGAGGACACTTGGGCATCCTTCAGCCAATGCCATGAGCTCTGCAAAGGCACCCAGGGTGAGACATCCCTTGGGAAGCTTTGCCAGCACAGGTGAGGATATCACCCATCAGAGGTGAGGATGTTCTTGGTACCTGCCTGCTCTACCCATTTGGCAAAAACACGTACCAGACCCTGGCACCCATCCCGTGAGATTTACTGTCCCCCCAGCCAGCCTCATGCTGGCTCCAAAAAAGCAGCAAGGAAGCTCAGGTTAAACCTGGGAGGTGACAATGTGTGGCCAGGCCGCTGTCACCTGTCAGCAGAGGCAGCAGAGCTGTTAGGTGACAAAGGTACAAGGGAACCCTGCACATTCTCCCTCTTCCTTCTCCCAGGCTTTTGGAGGACATTAGCTCCCAGCACCACATCTCTGCAGTATGATGCTGGGATGCAGCATATCCCTACACCCACTGTGGCATCCACCAAGATCCCGGATGGGGCTGACCATGGCCCAGAGGCAGCTGGACAATGGGAGCAGACAGAGGAGACGGGGAGAGAGAAGGAGGCAGCAGAGCATGTCACCAGTTTAATCACTCCACTCTCCCCGCAGAGGCTGGCCAGCTCCAAGGTGCACAGCCACGCGTAGGGCTGTCATACTGATGGCCAGGAGCAGAACTAGACAAAGCAGGTAGTGTTTGTTACACTGCATGACAGTTGGATTTCTTATCAGAACCAGACATGTGGCCTGACCTCACCGCAGCAAGAAGCCACAGGCTCTGACTCACTGTTGACTTAGCACTCACATGTAGTTTGAATTACAGCAATAGCTGATAACGTTGTGAATTCAAAAACACTCCCGGCAGGGCCCTGCAAGCTGCCACACACCCAACGCTCCTGGAATTGTCCTGTGAAACCTGTTCTCGCACCCTGCAGCCCTGGCAGCATCCCCCCACAATTCCCACTGGGCTTGAGTTTGTGTGCAAACACGGATTCACAGACAGGTTTGGGTTGGGAGGGACCTTTGAAGACCATCTAGTCCAGTCCTCCTGCCATGGGCAGGACATGTTTCACTAGAAGTTGCTCAAAGCTCCATCCAACCTGACTTAGAACACTGCCAGGGAAGGGGTATCCACATCTTCTCTGGACAATCTGCTCCAGTGTCTCACCACCCTCATCATAAAGGATTTCTTCTTTATGTACAACCTATCCCTACCCTCATTCAGTTTAAAAACATTGTCCTTTGTTCTGTCGCTACAAGCCTTGGTAAAAAGTATCTCTCCATCTTTCCTAGGAGTCCCCTTTATATATCAAAAGGCAGCAATAAGGTCTCCCCGGAGCCTTCTCTTCTCCAGGCTGAACAACCCCAGCTCTCAGCCTTTCTTCCTAGCAGAGGGGCTCAGCCCTCGGACCATTCCTGCGGCCTCCTCAGGACCCGCTCCAACAGGTCCATGTCCTCCCGTGCTGGGGACCCCAGAGCTGGACGCAGTGCTCCGGGGGGGTCTCACCAGAGTAGAGTACAGGGGGAGAAACCCCTACCTTGACCTGCTGCTGATGCTGCTGGTGATGGACCCAGGACATGGCTGGCTTTCTGGGCTGCGAGCACACGTGGCCAACTGATGTCCAGTTTTCCATCCACCAGCATCCCCAAGTCCTTCTTTGAAGGGCTGCTCTCAATCCCTTAATCCTCCAGCCTGTACTGATACTGGGGGTTGCCCCAAACCTTGCACTTGGCCTTGTTGAACTTCACGAGGCCCACATGGGCCCAGTCCTCCAGCCTGCCCAGGTCTCCTCCCTCCAGCATAGCTCCAAGGTCTCCCGGCCAGCAGACAACAGAGGGGAGTTCAGTTTTGTTTAAGCCTCTCCCAGTTCCACTGGTCCTTTACTTGACAGTGGGGGTGCTAAGAGCCCCAGTTCTCCTCTGTGTGTCCTGCTGAGCGTTTGCAGTCGCTGCTGCTGGACTCTTCTGTAATTAAGGCTGGCAGCCTGCTGAGCCTACAGGGCAGGTGCTCAGGGTACATCAAGTCTGAGATAAACCCAAAGCCCACAGTCTTAGTGGTGGGACCAAATAGCTAACCTCTCCCTTAAGGCAGCAGAGCTGGCACCTGACTGTACCACCTTCAAAGGGCCAAGGAAGCTGGGTGGTGCTTTCCCCTACTGATACGCAATAAGCAGAAATCACCCCTAAACTCAAACTCTCCTGGGCCTCTTCCCAGCAAGCTAGGGCTGAAAATGTGACTGCCTTGCCCCTTGGCAAGCTGCCCTTCTGCACTTCCCACCTCCCATGGAGACCCATCCTGTCCCCACGCCAGAGTCTGGGGAGGTCTGGGGGAAGCCATGCAAAGAGCAGGGGTTGGCTGGCCCACAAATAACATATGGATGAACAAAGACAGCAATACAGCATCTAAACAATGGCATGGATCATTCCATAGCCATTGCCATTTGCTTCTCATGTCATTCTCACTTCCCGGTGCACCAGCAAACTTATTAGTGAGCAAGAAGGTGTTGGCTTGGACGAATGACATCCAGACAACTGGGTTAGACAAGTGGCACAGACCCAGGACAGAAAGTGCAACAAGGGACATGTCCACCCAGAGCCCTGCAGTCTGGGGGGATCCCCTCAGGCTGGTCAGGAGCAATGCAACCCCCAGTGCCCCAGCACCAAGACTAGGGGATGGGGAGCGCTGCCACCCCACGGAGCATCCTGGGACATGGTGTAGGGGGGACAGGGCAGGGAGCAGCAAGCTGTGCCCTGGCAGCATTTAGTGGGGAGAAGCATGGGCTCATCTTTGCTAGCAGTGGGCGGGCACAGCTCAAAATGTCTATTTGCACAAGGAAGCAATTCTCCTGCTGGGGCCTAATGGGCCAATGGATAGTTCATTTTATGACCAGAATTGTCAGAAAAAAATTATTAAAAGGAGCATTAAAAAGAGAAATAAGATGACTTTTGTTTTGAGGGAGGACTTGGTGTAGCTGTCAGCCTCAGGCAGGGAGAGGCAGGAGATCCCCTGACCTTGCCACGATCACTCCCAGGAGCTGCTGACGTGTCCAGACCCAGCTCTCCTCAGCCACAACCCTGCAATGACCACAGCCTGCAGCATTAATCCCAGGCAAAGCCTCTGGTTTGGCTAAGAGAGAAGGAACTGCAGATGTCCTGGCCTGAGGCCAGCTGCGCTGGGCTGTGACACCAGCACCTGCAGTGCCCCAAGCAGGTGACACAGCTGCTGGCATCCGCCGGCCAGATCCACACCGTGGCGGAGTGCTCTTCAGGGCAGCCCAGCCGCCTGCTTCCCTCCCGCACTTCCTCTCACATACTCCTGATGATTTTCACTGTCTCCTGGGTCCTTCCCACGTACCCCCACCGCCTCGATGCCATGTTCACCATGGGGTGGTACCCAAGCCCCAGCAGAGCACAAACCTGAGCCCTGCAAGTGTGAGCCCAGCTTGGAGCTGCACTGGGCTCCTCAGTATCTAATCTCTCATGGGTTTCCAAAGTCATGTGTGTAATGCATCCAGGAAGAGCCTTTTTTTAGGATTACTGGAATAAAAGATACCTAAAGGCTAGGCCTGGCTTCCTTACATCAAAAGTGCATTGTCCAGGAGCATAGCAGGCATCATCCTCCACACACCCTCACATGGCATCCCTTGCTCTCACCCACAACCAAGCACAAACCTCAGGCTGCTGCTCTGGTCCTTACATCTCTTGCTGCCTTGTGGAGGCAGAGGAGCTCCATCTCACAGCTACCAAAGCAGCCCTGGGACGGAGCAGTTGATTCCTCCCAGAACTGCACTCTGGCTGGAGACAAACCGCTGTCTGGGCATTTTTGCATCCATAAACTTTCTTTCTCAGGCACAAGGCTGCCACTCTTTCCAACACAGTGTACCACTGTGATCAGGCTGCTCCATGCATCCGCTGGGCCATTTGTCAGGAAAAACAGCCCAGAACAAATGGAAAACCAAGTGGCAATTCAGCAGGAAAGCAGTATTTTTCACTCCACAGTCAGAGTGCTTCAAACCAGCCACAGTCTCTGGCATATCCTCCCTTCTTTTGTGTTTGGAGCTTTTTAAACATTCCAATGTTTGCGGCTGGGGTTCCTCGGAAAGGCTGCTTCCTGTTCACACTTGGAAATTGTTGCTCAGAGGTGTTGAAAGCAATGGAGGAAACCTGCCCAGCCTTCCCACAGCCAGTGCTGGCAGCACAGGGGGCTACAGAAGGGCACTGCAGTGCTGCAAACCCACATGTTTCCATCTCCAGCCTGATTTCACCAGCAAAGAAGCTTATTCCAGTTTCCAGGTAACTCTGGAAACCAAACCCAGTCCCCTCCCCAGTACTGCCAGTACTGTCCCCACATCCACCTTCCACTGGTTTTGGTGCTGATTTTGTAGCTATGTAGGCACAAGATTGCTGCTCCTACCCTGGCAACTTATAAGCAGATGAGCATTGCTTCTGCTGGTGGTTTTGGGCACTAATCAGGGCCTCTCTCCTTTACCCAGCTGCCAATTTGTAGGAAAATAACATCTTTGAGCCTTCCAGATCCCTGCCAAGTACGGCTGAAACTGGACAACACGGTCAAAAGATGTTAGGGGGAGAGGGTGGGAAGTGAGAGGCAGACAGACAGATGGACCAGCAGAAGGCACCGTTACATAAAATATGTTCCCTGAAATGGTTGGGATAAAAGCAGGCATTTCAAAGCTTCCACTCCTGCCGAGGGTGTCCGAGAGTCACACTGGCTGGCTCTCTTGCATATACACACAGTGCAATCCACTCCCAAACCTTTGCTTGCAAAAAAAATCTGTATCTGGAGCGATGCTCCTCTCTGGCTTAGCTATCAGCACTGTCATGGATGCAGAGCTGAACCTAATGCATGTTCAAGCTCAGTCAGAAAGGCAAAGGGCTTGTGCACGAACACTGTAAACTCCTGTGGGCACTGCTCAGAGCTACAGCCAATCCCTCCAGCCTTTCCCCATCACACGGAAAACACTGGGAAAAGCCAGAACACCTGGAACTGATAGAGGAAGGGTCCAAACACCCACCTAAAGAAAAGGGTGAGAAACCAGCTCACCTATGGCTATGCTGCAATGCAGAGTGTGTAGCCTCTCTTTTATCTGCAGTGCAGGGCTCAGATGGCCCTTCAATAATAATTCTACATTATTACATTAGCACTGCAGTGTTAGAAAAGCCCCGAGGAAGCTCTCTGGACTGATCCAAACAAATGCACCAATGTGTCATGCTAATCAACAAGCCTTCCCTCCTCCAGCCATGTCAAGCACATGCCTTGTCCTCAGTGGAAGAGACCTAGGGACAGCAGCAGCGAGGGACACTGGACTTGCACACAGTTTGGAGTATCAGGAAGATGAAGCTGTGTGTACCAATGGCTGCCCAAAGCAATTCCTTCACGGGCAAGGCAACACACACCACTAGTAGCTTCTCTGCACGTGGCTTGGACATCCCAGCATCATGGTCTGCAGAACTGCTGGGCTGTGCCCAGAGAGGAAAGGCAGACCCTGCAGCAGCCACCCCCAGGGTGCAGAGGGGGACCCTCGAACTGCAGACACACAAGCTGGCCCTCCTTACCTTTGTCTCCTTGATCTTGACAGCAATGACCTGCTTGCGCTGGCGGATGATCTCCATGAGCTCGTCACACTCCTCCATCAGCTTGGCCTCATGCATGGCCGTGTTCACCTGGCCAGGAACAGCAAAAGCACACGCCATTAGCAGGGAGACACTTGGTCCTGAGCCCGGCAGCCCCACAGCTCTACCAGCTCAGACTGGGAGAGATACAACATATATCCTCCATGCTGGGCCCCGGCTCTGCCCTGCAACACAGACAGGAACGGGCTGGCTCATCCACATCCCTTGCCTCTCCAGCTGGAGGAAGGGAAAAGGCCCGAGAAGGGTGTGAAGCTCTCCTTTCTGGGTGTCCAAGGTTCGGTAGGGCCATGCCGAGTGGCTTGTGGGGCACACACCCCTCCATAGGTAGCTGGGGCACAGGCTGTGGGAAGGTGGCAGCCTAGGAGCAGTGAGCCCTCGCTGCTGCAGTCTAACTCAGCCCTGACAGGGTGCTGCACCACACAGTCACGGCTGCAGAGCTTTCCAACAAAGCCTGGCTACCACTGCACAGCGCTGCACGCAGAGCAGGGATGCTCAGGGATCTCTCCACCTCCCTTCCTGCACAAGCTGTATGTTTTGGGTTGCTCTGCACAGCCACAGCTGCACTGTTTGGGCTGCTCTCAGCACTCCTGAGTGACCCCCATCCTGCCCTCGGCTATGGGGCAGCTGGCGGTTATCCTGCCCTAGCCGTCCTGCTTCAAGTTGAGCAGCACAGACTTCCTGCAAAAGCACCAAGCTTTGCTGGCCTCTCATCCTGAGCAAAACTCACAGCTCACTCATGCACCTATACCGAGGCAGTGCCCGTGAGCTAGTCGGAGCAAGAAGAGGCTTAAAATTGAAAGACAGCATCCTGCTTGGAAGAGCAAGGGTAGCCGTGACTTCAAAACATCTGCAAAAGCAAGACCGAAAGCAAACACTTGGCACAGGCAGAGGGAGGGAGCACAGGCAGAGCCGTGGGGGGCTGCATGGCTGCAAAGGGCACATCGGGAAATGCCATGTGGGGTCTTAATGGAAGGGCTGAACCAGCTCAGGGCAGCAACAACAGTGGGCAAGGTGGGCTGGTGTAGCCACTCCCTCTCTGCTCTGGCCGCTCACTGTGCTGGGCTGTAACCCCAAGCTCCACAGCATAGTTCAGGGCCCTGAGAAGGAAAAGTCTTCCTTCTCCCGATGCCATAGGATGTTCTTGGCAGGGCTCCAGCACCTCCTCGGAGGTGGCTTTCAGCCCACAGAGCAGGGAAGATGGTCAGCTGCTGGGCACACCACACCGGTGCTGCCAACCTGGCAGGCAGGGTCTGGCAGGGCGAGTGGCAGCCCTGGGCTCCATGGACGCCTCCATTACCCTAATTTTCAGCCACAGAACAGTGCTTACAGTGCCTGGTGGTCACCAAGTGTTCCTCAGGCCCCATCTCTTTGCGCAAAGCCTTTTACAAATAGCCATCTTCCTCCTAAAAAAATTAAAAACAACCAGATGCTGCTGGCAGCACCTGCTGCTCTAAAAAGCCCCATTTCTTCATAATGCAAAGATTTGGCAGGATACATGCTCAGACCGTAATAAATCTTTAAGCTTTCTCCAGCTCAAGGCAAATTTCTTACTGCGCTTGCAGTTCACTTCCTAAACTGGGGCACCATCCCCTCATGAATTTTGCTCTGGGCTCACGATGAGGGGAGCTTGGTTATGCTCAAACCCATACCCTCCTCCTTACACCATCCCCTCATAACCACAGCTCCCAGTGCGGGACACGCAGCTTCAGCTGGCCCAGCCCACAGCAGAGTAACAGAGTGAGCATCAAACGGCACTTTTATGATCATGGCCATCTTCCAGGCTGCTGCTGCTGCTGCTCCTCCCTCCCTAACCTCATTCCTAGTATTTATGGTTCAGTGGTAAAGAAATACAACCCGCTACACAGCACAACCAGTTCTTCCTCCCACCCTACCCTCCAGAACTGTTGCACCAAGAGGAGGGACTTGAGCCAGGAGATGAGAACACCTTATGTAGACCTGGACACCTGAGTTAGTCCTGGTGGAGGGCTGAAAATGACACGATCAGACTGGCCAGAGCTTCCCGAAGTCACCTTCAGGTCTGACCAGCTATTGCAAACCACCTTGGACACAATCTGGCCTCTTTGAGACCAGGTCTGGTGTCTTCGTGACCTCTGTCATGTGTACAGTTGGCCAAAATGAACAACAAAACATGACCATGGGGAGATCACATCTGGTCTCCCTCTCCAGTTGACCAGGAAGATACTCATCAGCCAGGCAGGACGTTGCCAGCGGGCTGGATGGCTCTCAATGTGCTTTTGGGGAAAGCAGCAAGGAGCCACTTGAGCTCCTTGGTCATGAGGGGATGGATGCTGCAAACAGGGGAGACCAGCACGTGTGGCTCCTCCATTTAGTCTGGATCCTTGAGTGACCAATTCTGAAGCTTTGCTTTGGAAGATGCTCCTCAAGATGGCCTTCTCATCTTTGGAGAAGGCACCAGTAAACCCCCATCACCTCGGGCTACAGCGCCATGTTCCCTGGCTGAGACAACGGTGGGGGTAGCAAGAGAAGGCAGCAGGACACGGTGACAGACTTGTCCTGTAAGACTTCAAAGAGCAGAGAAGCCCAGGTAGTAGATGCATTGATGACTTCCTTCTTCATAGATCTCCCAAGACATCATTCCTTCAGCACAGACATCACTGCTGCAGATGCAGAAGCTATCGGTGCCCAGCCTGGCTCCTGCTACACAGGTGCCAGGTGTGTGCCAGGAGCACTGGGTGGAATACTGGTGACCTTGGGGAGCAAGAGCCCTCCCCAAGGTGGTCAGGAGCTGAGATGTTGAAGGATTTGTCCAAACTGCAGCTCCTCCAGGTAAACCCAAGATGGTGCTGCTGGAAGGGTGGAGCATGTGCCTTTCGGAGGGATGGGATGATTAGGATGCAGGAGGTGGGGGGTCAGCAAGCTGGGAACAGGGGGTCTCCCACCCTGTCCTCAAACAAGCGGAGGTGAGCATGGCATCAGCCCCAGGAGGCAGTATCTATTTTCTACAAAAAAAGCTGCATGTGTCTTGCTTAATTCAGGATAATTAATCCCCGATGGACCCCCTTTTCAGGCTTCAAATACACAGTTTTAAAAATTTTATTTTAAAGCTGAAAGGCAGGCATGCAAAAAGTGCAGTGAAAGCACAGGGAGAAGTTTCAGTCATCCGTCTCCAGGAAAGACCAGTATCCTTGGGGGGATGGACAGGAAAGGGGGGATACACTTTATAGAAGGGGAATTGAGCCCTAACACTTAAATTAAACCATGTACTAGAGGACATAAATAGACTCTCAAGGCTATGTGAAAGAGTGGAGAAGCCTGAAGGCAACCCAGAGTTAAAACACATTTGATACAAGATCTTTTTTTAAACTTGGCCAGCAGATTATGCAACACTGAAGTGGGAGACAGCTGATGGTCTGCAAAGATAACTCCACTGAGAAAAAACAGCAGATAATCTTCCAAATCTGCCTCAAGGTAGCAGAGCAGGGAAATCAGACCCAGGGTTTGGAGCCTGCAGCAATCTGTGCTGGTGGCAGCAAGGTGACAGTGCTGTCTTGCAGCCCAGGCCATCACAGAGGATGCTGGCAGCACAGTCGCCCCTCGAGTGCTGATAGAGATGGCCATCACTCGAATTTCCCAGGAACAGAAAATCAGGGCTGTCTTCAAGTATGTGCAGCCCCACTGCTTGCTATTGCTGGCAGGAGGGAGCCCTGGGTGCCAGGACTGAAAAAACAACAGCAGGAGGAGAATGGGGGGGTTGTCCTTCAGCAAGTACCATGCTCCCTCTCCAGCCTGGCATGCCAAGCAGAAATCCTGGGCTCCTGATTAAATTAATACTAAATCTAAAAACCCACCCAGGGCAAGAAATCTGCAGCTCAACCAGCATTCATACTGTGGGAGACTGAAGGCAGACGAAGCCACAGAGGCCACTGCAGTCCCCTTCCCCAGCTGCCTTCTGTCCAAAAAGGAGCGTTTTCAAGGTGAGGGTCCCGTCCCCAAAGTGCCAAAAGAGCACGGAGGTGGGATTTCAGACCAACACAGCTCTGCTGGCAAAAGCCCTGGCTCAGGCACAGCTAGATATTGGCCAAACCACTTTCTATTAGGATGAACCAGTTCCCAGGTAAATGCTGCATTTAGGGGAGAAGACTCAGCAGGTGCTACAATTGTAGGAAAGCTGGGTGTGGGGGAGAGTTTTTAGATATAAGAAGTGGGGGGACCCTTCTAATGTGTGTGGAGAAATGTGCTAATACAGCCCTACAATAAAAAGCAAAGGGTAAAACTCAAACATGGAAAAGAGCTCACGTTGCAGCTCATGGAGGGATGAGGAACATCATCTCAGCCTGAGGTGTGATGCACGGACAGACAAACCTCCTCCACACCCAGGCGGCAGGACCCAGCCCTGAGATGAAGCAGAGGACCCTATCCCACCCCCACAGCACTGTCACCCCCAAAACCACCAACAGGTTTTTGACTATGGAGCAAGGCACCCATGCCCCACAAGACACACACCAGTTTGCACCAAGGCCAGTGCTGGGGCTGCCATGGCACAGAGGGCCACCATCCCCTGCTGCCTTCCCTGAAGGGGACATCGGGGTGGGTACCATCCCTGCTACCCACACTGCTATTTTACAAATTTAGCTTCTTTGCAGGTTAGTTACCTGCTCTCTTTGGTCTACGTTTCAACTACTGCCACAGGATTTGGTCCCTGCACCCTCTCCCAGCAGGAGCCTCCCATGTGCCATGAAGGAGGGAGTCGCTCCTTGCAATGCCAATGGGCAGTGCAGGCTCAGTGGCTTGGGAACACTTGCAACGCTCTTCTGTGGAGTGCCTCCCTCTGCACCTCAGGGTGCTGGTGGCAGAGTTTCCTGGACATAATGTGGCATTTACACTGAACATGAGTTGATCAGCAAAGTATGTTGGGATCGCACGTATCCGTCTACATGCAGTGTCCCACGAATAGCTCAAAAGCAAAATCCCCTGCTTTCAGACTTACAGGGAAGCACAGAGGGGCAGAGATATTTTCTACTTCACACTTTAATGCGCTCTCTGAAAAGTTGCCTCGGAAGGGCAAGACTGCATATTTAGTAAGGCTGAGAAATGTATTTCAACTGTTATTTTAAGCAGAATGACTGACAAAGCTGAAAACTCCTAAACTATGTAGAAAACGACAGCCTAGAGGCCTGAAACTTCCAGAATCAGAAAGAAATAGCAAATAGTTTTCAATTCATCACAGGTCAGTTCATTACAATGCTGGAGCTGGATTCAGAGGAGGAGGAGGTTTGGAAGGACATCCAGATGCATCCCTGCCCCATCCCTGGTGGGATCTTGCAGTCAAAGCGTGACCTGTAAGAGCAGTGAGTGCTGGTGACTGTCACCGGGGCTCTGCAAGGACGCTCTGGCTCCCTCTCTGCCTGCAAGACATCCATTTGCTATCTATTTTACCATAGTCACTCCAAATCCACGTAGACTTGGGGGAAGAGGCAGCCCAGGGAGAGACACCTCCAACAAAAGCCATTCCTACTGCAGAGCCAAAAACCCTTCTCCCTACCACAGCAGAAAGAGAAGCAGGACAATGCGAGTGACTAGGGAGCACTGGTGCAACCAGCACATGTGAAGGCCAGCAGTGCTGCAAAACCCAGTGTGATTTTTCTGCTCCTCATCTCATCATGGAAACTCAGAGCGTGTCTCAGCTCCTTTCTCCTCGCACACTGAGCTGCATCCGACAGCGGCCTGCAGATGCTGGCAGCACACACGGCACTGCTGGCACTCTCAGAAAGGGTTTTTGCACTCTTTTCCTCTCTCCAGATTATCAAGACAGCAACAAGGACCTTATTTAGTGAGTAAAGAACAAAACGCTGATGCTTGCCTGCAGGAAACTCAGGGGGTAGGAAGCACCTTCTTGGCCTGAGAGCCCCAGTCACTCTCTGAGATGCAGATGGTGAAGAACAAGCTGCAGCTCCCTGTGCAAATGCATTCCTGGGTGCTTCACTATGGGCTAATGACTCCAGTCAGCACGTGCAGCATCCCTGCATCCCTACCAGCTTCTTGGCCCACAGGACAGCTCAGGGAAGTCGCGTGGGAAGCCACAGCCCCACCAGAAAGGGCTGGAGTGACCAAGGGTGAAGCAAATAGCCATCACGTCTGCTCATTCACTGGCAAACTCTCCCCAGATCCACATCAGCGATCCCTGAAGCAGCTTGTGTTTTTATTCTCTGGAAAGGTGATGGTTCAAGGAATTGCTGCTGAATTTAGCAACCCAAAAAAATCAATAGCCCATTACGAATAAACTAATTGTGACAACTTTTCTCCATGTATCACTTCAGTAAACAAAGCTGCAAATTAATTTGCTATTAATTGGTATGTGCACTTTGAAACAACAGTGAAGTATTAACTGCCGTCTTCCTCTCAAATGTTTTCCATGGGAGCGCATCGCTTGTGAACTCCTGACTCCGGAGCTGCAGCCAAGAGGCAGCGTCAGTCTGCTGGCACAGGCTCTCCCTGCACACAGCTCGCACAAACACTTCCCTTGGCGATGCAAACAAAAGATGCCTGATTGCACACCGGGAACACAAAGAGTTTTATAGATCAAGTGGTCAAAGCTGCAAGGTCAGCAGAGTCCCTTTTTTCAGCAGGATTAAAGGTGATCTCCTCTCTTCCTCCGATGCTTTCTGTAATCCCCTCTACAAAGCCTTTCCCACTTGCTGCTGATTTAAGCCTGAACGTTGCTATTCTGCTACAGAATTCAGGGCTCAGGAAGGAGAGATTGCAATCGCCATCTCTGGCAGCAGGACGGATGCGGGGAGGCAGAGTGCATGTGTTTGGGAGGAGGAAGGAAAGTGAGGAAGAAGACCAGCCACTGCAAACCGGGAGAAAGGCTGGGACCACCTTGCCCTGCAAGGGAAAGCTGCTAGGGCAGCAAGGATAGAGACAACATTCCCACCTGCACTGAGGGGCTGGGGACTAGTCACTCTGCCTATGCTGCCACAGGGAAAGGCTGGCCCTGAACAGAGAATGAATTAGAGAGCTGAGGAAAATGGATTAATGAGCAGGGTAAGGTTCAAAGAGGACCAGCGCAGGGCCCTGTGCCGTCCTAAGAAACAGCAGCCAGGCAGCAGCCTGCTAATGGTCTGAGGTGAGATGGCTTAAAAACTGCATGGGAGACAGAGGTGTGAAAATTGCAGCCACTGCCCTGGGACACAGAAATGGGACTATGGCCCAGAGAGCACCAAAATAACCCCTTCCTCTCCTCTCAGAGCACTGGAGGAAGAGCAGAGCATTGCTCCATCTGGGGAACCACACCAGTTCAGAGGACTGCTTCCCCAAGAAAGTGTGGACAAAAAGGGGACAGTCTGGACTGCAGAGAAACTAACTGTGTTGTGAAGAATCTTGGAAAAAAAAACAATAATGAAACTATTTCAGCCCAAAAAAGAGAAGAGGATGGGCAATCGGCAAGTATGTTATGGGATGCTGGAGGGATGAGCAAAATAACTTCCCCTATGTCCATAGTGGACAGGATGAGGCAGAGAGTTACAGGCTGAAACTGCAGCAGTAAAGTTTCAAGTTGGACTTAGTAAAACCTTCCTGGCACAGAGGTGCACAAGATGCCATGGGAAGATGCAGCATCTCCATCGCATGTTCAGGACTGGGTGGGACAGCCATCATCACCATACACCTTGGGACAGGCACTCGCAGGGGACAATTTCTTCCAGTCCTCCTTGTCTGGGACTCTTTGCTTCCACATTCATGTCACAGAGCACTCGAGCAGCTCAGGGAAGAGCAGGATGAGAGAGGCTTTCTCAGGGTTTCTGCCCCAGGTAGCAGCAAATTACACAGCAAAATGGGAATACAGTGGCTGGAGGCAATGCCTGGAAATCCTCCTTTTACAGAAAAGATCAGAAAAACACTCTCATGCTAACAGAAAAAGTGAGTCTATACCAAAGTGCTTAGGAGGAAAGAGAGACCCAAATGAGCCTTGATTTCACCAGGAGGCTCAGCCTCATCAGCATTGCTCTGGGTGCCTCAACATGCAGAGGACCTTACTCCCAAATGGGTTCCCGAAGTCACATCTGACCCCTCCCTTTATTCCCTTGGGAAGAGTAGTCCCCATTACCAGCCCTGGTTCACCCAAGCCCTGCAGAAGATGTTAGCACACCTTTCTCCAGCATGAAAGACCTGTCTGCAAATGCTGCCCACTCCAGCTCACCAATGAATGCAGCAGCTCTGAGGAGCATCAGTGCCTAGAATGACAACCCTCATGCCCCAGAAGGGAGGGCTGCACTGGAAAGCACCTCCCTCAGCCCTGCAGAGGGGAGGACCATCTCACCCAGTGCATACCCAGACATTCCAGTATCGCTGCTGTGCCTCTGTCCCCCTCAGACATCCAGGCTGACTCAAGCACCATGCTATAGCCAGAACACATCCCAGGTGAGGGCATACCCCCTTAAATGCCTGGAAGCAGCTCTGGGGATTTTATAGTGCTTCCTTGCCAGCACCTAGAGACACCCATTGCTTCCCTCCTCCTCTCCATCAGGCTGTGGAGAGGACATCTGCTCAACCCACCCCAGCATAGTGTGGTCCCACTCTCTCCTTCCCAAGAGGAAAGAGTTAAAACATAATTAACACAGTACAAGCACCCTGGAGGTGAGAAGGATCTCTTCAGCAGCTTCCATACCTGTCTGGGCAGATGCAGTTTTGATACAAGCTTCAGTTATGTGACCATGACTCCCTTTCTTGGGCTGGCCACAGCTGCTGCTCCAACGCTGCTCTACAGGCACGAGCAATCTCCTTGTGGGCTTTCCCCAAGCACTCGTCACTTTGATATCCAAGTGCTTTGCAAATATTAACTAGTTTACTTTAACAGCACCACCAGACAAGAAAGAGGAGGTGTAACTAGCCCAGAGTTTCATAGGTAATTTGAAGCATGGACACATCACAGTCAAAAGGATTTGTTGTTTCTGGGAGCGCAGCTGGAGATGCCCCAGCCTTTGAAGGCAGGGTGCAGGCTATAGCACGCTGAGCATCCAAAGCAAACTCTTACTAATGCCTTCCAGCTGCAGATGAGGTTTTGCAATACTCAGCCCCAGCGGGTCTCACCTGTGCACCTGAGGAAACAGGAGCTGCCAGCAAAACTGCACCTGAACGCAGGAGGCAGCTATGAGAGGGGTAACTCAGCTTCCCCGCTCCCTGAGCTGAGCTGTGTTTGCATGCTCAGTGTCACCCGAGCTTCAGCCAAAAGCACCCGCCGTCCCCTGTGCACAGACCAGTCAGCAGGTCTTCCCTTCCTGAGCCAGCCCAGCAGCCTCTGTCTCTTCTGCGTGGCTCTCAGTCATGCCACTCTCCTTCAGACCCTATAGACCTCTGGGAACCATCCCCTCATCCTCCATTATTTGGGACTAAACTCTCCAAAACAATTCAGCCTCCCACCAGCCCCTCGGTGTCACCGATGTTTCCCACCACACACTCATCTCTGTTCCCAGAGCAGCCCTGGGGAAAGGACACCAGAGCAATGTCATGTATTCCATCACTCGAGCCAGCAACTTCCCTGTGCACCCTCCCCATCACACCCCTGGTCCCCTGATTGCTCTCACCAACCTCCACTTGCTGGCAGATCTGGATCAGCTTGGCCATCTGGTTTTCCAGTTCACTGTTGCGTTTAACCAGGTTGGTGAGATTCGTCTCCAGGGTTTGCTGCAAGTCCAGAAATGGGAGAGGAGAAAGAGAAAAACCGAAAAGATCAGCAAAGTTGGAGGTCTGTCCCCAGTCCCCCACATTAGTAACCAAGACCATTTGCCACCCAACACTGCCTGAGGGAGGAATAACTTGAATAACTTTGGGCAAGGGTTCTTGGGTTTCTGCCCACACCGGTGGGTTGTGTGAGTGCTCGGCCTAAGACAGGGGAGCCACTGAGCTTGGCACCGTGGTGGCCCTGAGGAGGTCACCAACTGGAAGTGACAGTGGGTGTCTACCCTTTGCTGCTCCTTTGGAGATGGCTTGAGAAACCAGGCTGGGTTGTGTTCCCTGGAAAATTTTACAGGCAGCCAGAAAAACAACAGGAGTATCTAAGTTTCTCAGAAATGTTCTCAAACCACTTGCTGCTGAACCCTCTGACAAGGTGGGAGAGACTAAGTGTGCTGCTCCCCACGTTTCTGCCAGGAAAGAAGCCAGCATGGCTATTCTCGACATCAGTTTTGTATTGCATATGGTAAGGACGCCAAACAGCCTGTGAACCATCAGAGAGGGACCACTCTCCTTTGCAAACCATCCCTGCCGGAGCAACACAGGCACAGGCAGGGAGAGTAACGCAGGCAGCTCCAGAGCGAGTCACAGGGACAGCTCGCCTGGTGCGGGCAGCCAGTGCTTGGCAGCCTCTGCCAAGCAGTGGAAACAAAACCCTCCCCAGGTCTCACCAGGCTGCCCACGGCTGACAAAACCTGGCAGCGTTCGGCCATTCCCTCCCCCCATGTTCCACCTTTTTCCAAGAGTATAAAAAGCTATTCTGCTTTGATAGCCTGCCAGCAAGCCTGCCCGCTCTGAATAAATTGCTCCTATTTTGCATCTCTGCTCTCCCCTCCTCATCCTCTGTTGGTACTGGATATAAAAGGTCCCCAGGAGAAGGTTGTGGTCCCCACCACAAGCTGCCTGTACATCCCTTCCCAGCTCCCCAGCTTTCGCTTGTGGGAGCAGATTATTGCCAGTGGATCACAGCCCAAGCGCTGCAGGGACCCCTGGGGAGCGTGGTCTGTTTTGGCACCCACAGGCTGCAATATTCATGGAACAGAATGCAATCCAGCAGAGCACAGAGAAAGAGCCCATTTGAAAAGATTTTGATATCTATGGACACACAGTGGACTGTTACTTTTTTGGATATCAATAATTTAAGTGACACCACATTTCCATTAAAATACGTGGTTCCACTAAGAGGAAATGTTTTATAACAAAGTGCTCACTACCTGTTGCAACGCTTGTCGGGAAAATGATATCCTATTAATATTTTAAACTTCAGGGCTGGAAGAGGATCCCTGTGGTGTTTTATTCATCCTCAGCTAGAAACTGCAGTCCGAGACTTTCAAGACTCCAGAAGACCCATAAACACGGCCTTTCTCTGCACGCACGGATAATTTGGGGGCTAGTTAGCCAAGAGAACTTGAATCATAGTCATGAAGCACAGGCAAAGCATTCATTCCTGAAAAACCACTGGCTCCTAAAATACTCCGAGCTCGTTTGCAATCCTGCAAATTGCTAGCCAACGGCGGGTGAGGCAGAACATAGAAACAGGCTTGAAAAATGAAATAAAACCCAGGGTGCCTTCATTAAGTGGAAAGTACTTTGCACAACAATGCTATATCGATAATGAAAAAGCCAGCTGCTAACAGTTCCTGCCACCCTCTTTCCTTATAGCTCAATATTATTAAACATAATTTGACTAAAGCATTAAGCATTTAACTTGCTAATTATCTTCCTCCTCACCAACTTGGCTGCACTGAAGTTGCAGCTTTGAAATTGCAGCCGATCTGCTTTAATGTTCCAGGGCTGCTGATGGAGGGCAGAGAGGGGAGGGAGGGGAGGTGAGCTTGAGACACACTCTTTGAAGCACAGAAGTCCAAAACACAGTTGTGGCATCCCAAGTTTTCCAGGCAACAGCATCACTCCTCCCCATCCATAAACATGCACAAAACCTGCCCCCAAGCCCTCATCCCTTCATTAAGCATACGCTGATATTCCTATTAATGATGGCTCAAACAGCAAGCACCCTCTCTTGTCCTTAGCCAGGCAGTTCTGAGTGCTGCAAACCCTTCTGCAGCACGTGAAAATGCAGATGGAACCATTTCCTTCTGTTTGATTTGCTGAAACAAATAAAATATACTAGAATCTTTGATTACACCAGCTGGTTATTTTGTAGGTATATATAAATTACAGCAATTATAGGGGTCGTTTTTTAATTGCATTGTAACATGCTCATAATTTCCCCAAACATTCACCCTCTGGCCTGAAGTACTGATAGTTGATTTCTGTGCAACTGGGAAGGGAGAAAAAGAAATAAAAACAAAACACCACCATGTCCTTCAGCAAAAGTCATTTGTGCTCAGTGACCCCAGTTGGGTTGCCCAGATGATGGAAACCCACTTGCCCAGGGATGGCAGGACTGGAGAGCAAGAGCACACAGACACAGTACCTGTGGGAAAGCAGCTGAGCCTTTCCCAGCCTTCACTGGCTGTGGCTGTACAGCTCGCAAAATACCCCGCCAGGATCAAACCCTCTCCACCAGCTTTGACAAAGCAGCTCAGTGGCTGCATCCCATTTACCTGCAGGTGACCAGATGCAAAATAAAGGTATCTGGCACCCAACTGAAGGAGCTGAATAACATGGCACTGATGCACAAGCACTGGTGGTTCATATTTTGTTATGTGCACAATGAGCAACAACTTCTCAATTTTCCTTTTTCTCCAAATATTAAACAAGCAGTTGAACTAAACATCAATCTCTCTATTCCTGTTTGAAGAGAGCATCAAGGTTGGAGGTTCAAGACAACTTTAGGAATCATAAATATTAGGCTTCCTCTTGGTCCACTGTGCTTTGTCAAACATGACCCAAGCATGACCAGCCAGAGCACATCCTGCACTCCCTGAGCTGCTGACAGCTGTTACTCCATGGCAGGTTTCCACCCCACCCACCAGTCTGGAAGCTGGTCCACACTGGGAAACGCAGTTGAACTCACGGCTTTAACCAGCTGGGAGAGGGGTGCAGAGCAGCCTTTGAGCCCCGAGCAGGTTGGCAGGGGAAGGGGTCCCCACAGAGCTGATTGGGAGCATCACACAGACCTGGCTTCACTGAAGTTGCCAGGTGATGGGGGGGTCAATTCCCACAGGCTTTGAGCCACACAAACTTCAGGTCTTCCCTGCCAGCCCTGGAGCGCCCTGTAGCTAGGGAAAGCCTTAGACAGGGTTCTGCAAAGGCTACAGGTGGCATGAGGAGCTTTTGCTGCTGCTGGCCTATGCTGATGTTCACCTGCAACCAGCCCCAGTGCTGCTCTGATGGGCTAAAGGGCTCATCCCAGCGAGCTGGGAGAGCCGGCATGGGAGGCTGGCATCTGGCTCTGCCTTATTACAGGACTACATTTATCTTCATGCAAAGGCAGCCAAAACTGCAGAGTGTTTACTTTCAGTGATTTATTTAGGGCTTTTTTCATTGCTCTTGTTCATTTATAATTGCTTTCAATAAAGGATGCAGGTCCCTGCCCTGCTCCCTCCATGTACCACAAACACAAACCATATGTGCATCCATAAACACACGTGCACACACACGCGCACAAAAGTCAAAACAGCTGCAAAATGCTTCCCTGCACGCCTGCTGGCCGGCCCTGACTCCAGGGCTGCAAGGCAGCAGGAAAATTGGTCCCCAGATACCCACCACCATTCATCAGCTTCACCAGAACAATGCAGGGGAAGGGCACCCACGGCAGCTGGGTGGGATTTCTGCTGGGCTGAGGATGCACAGTCAAGCCCTCGGTGGTTGAGGGTATGCTGTCAGGTCTCCTGGCATGGGGAAGGATTGCTGCTGGGTGTCCTCTGCCCAATTTGGAGCAGCACAGGAAAGCCAGATGCCACCAGTACACTGCCCAGGGTTTCCAGGGTCTGCCACGATTTCTCCTGAGGGAGTTGGTCAGATTTTAAAAACCACAATCAAAGTTCTTGATGGTATCCTGCAGCTGCAATGCTGCTGGAGCCACAGAAAACCCACACTCGTGTCCCTGCTCCACCAATACGCTGCTTTGCACTGAGCTTCTGCACCAGGCACCCAGTGGTTTTGTGAGGATGAGGGGCACTGAGGTGGCTCATCTAGGCAACACCAGCACAGCTTCTGCTCAGAAGTGGCAGACGACCTGGATTAGCTGCAGCAAGTTCCCACCAGGGTCAGTCCTGACCCCATTTGCCTCCCTCTGATGTACGTTTTGGGGAGGGAGGGCGACAGGGTGGTTGTGCAGCATCCTCCCAGCTTCACTAACGACAGCTGCCTCCACAATGCCGAACTGAAAACCTGGGCATTGTTGAGCACAGCATGGACCAGGCTCTTCTCCATGGCCACAGGAGGTACAGAGGCCCGGCACTGCTCCCTTGCCAGTGGATGCTCCTGCTCCCGCCTCCCATCCCTACCAGGCAGTGAGAAGACCAGGCACGGGGCCCACACACTATTTACCACCATCAACCCTGGTAGTGACACATCCCTCTGAGATGATGTTTAGAAATCAATTCCCAGCCCCCAGCCAAAAAAAAAAAAAAATGTATCAGGGAGAAAATATGATAAGCAAGTCAGCTGCCTGCCTTTGCTAAAAGAATTTCCCCAGACAATAGGACAAGTGACAGAGAGACACAACTGAGCTGCCAAGCGGCTCCCGCGCAGCTCCTGCCTTGTGACACTAATGCATTTTAAGTCGCTTTGGAGCAAAACATACTGAGTAAAAACTGAAATAAACTGCCAGCTTTCAGTGCCTGGTATCACCCTAACTGACAGAGCTGACCTAGAAAATCAAGTGATTTGTTACAGTGAAGTTCTGACTGTGTTTCTAATTGTGCTGAAGACAGTCTAGAGCAGGAGCCCTGCACCAGGCAGAGGCTCTGGTAGTTATCCACCAGTCAGCCACCTGCATGGTGGGGGACAGGGACCATAGGAAAGCACTTGGCGAACAGATG